TGTGCTTTGTTTGAAAACGAATCCACAGTAAAATGAAGTGAACAAAGAACCAAGTTCTTATTGACGCGGTCTGGAACTTCTTTATAAATAAAGTTCATCCACTCTTTACTAATGTTGAGATCAGAAGGAAGGCGATGCAAAGACTGTGTTTTTCCATAACCTATATCACCCAGTATAATACTGCAAATTCGCTTTACAGTAAATAACTGTAATACCCTTTGCATCATGGGAATTTTCTGTGACGTCAAACCCCAACATACAGTGACTTACTGTATTTTAAAAAATTGCTTTATACTACTGTATTTGCCGTAATGGCCTTTTTGGTGCCATTCTATTGAGGCTGCTTTATTTTCCTCATTTCTCACATTTGGATTGACAAGATTTGACTTGCACCGTGTCTACAACGCCACAACAGTTTGGGACTGACTACACTGGATGTTACATCGCTTGTAATGATTGGAAAATCCGTTTGTCCTTCGTGTCAGAAACAGCACGAGCACTTGGAGTACATCTGTATGTCAGAAATAAACCGGGGCATCACTTTACTGTCCGCATCCACTGTAGATAGTATAATGGGTTCTATATTGTCTTTTGTCGAGTTGCGCCGTGCCACTCACGTCCGAGGAGGACACGGAACCAGCGGGGCAGCGCCGCGGGTTTTGCCCGGGGATGAACCCGCAAGAGTGGAAGAGTTCCAGAGAACATCTGCGCTGTGTGTCGATGCACCTCACGAGAGAATAAGACCAGTAAGCAAGGTAAAAAATATATGTACATTTGTCTGTGTGTTAGGGATACTGTGTGCAACAGTGCGGAGCGACATCACGGAAAGCGGACGTGAAATTGAGGAGGAGTAACGTTAGCCTATATCGCTAAATGAGGAGCTCGAGCTGTAACTGGTTTGGTTAGGGCTGTACAGTGCACAAAAAATCGGTCTGAATAAATGTACTACAGTAGCACGTGTGCGATACAGTTTTGCATGTGTATGAGCCTGTTTACAAAACTGTTGTCCAACAAAGATATAATTTATTGACATGCTTTTTCTCCAAATTAACTTAACATAGTCGAGTGTTTGAAATACTTCTTTTTGTGACCAGACGTGGTTTCATATTACAGAATGATAGTATTATATACAGTGATAAAGGCCATGTCGATTAACATTGCATTATAAATATACTTTCCTTATAAAAATACCCAAGATTGAAGAACACAGATAAACCACATATTTTGTGCACTCGTATGTTTATTTTCCTCAAGTTTCATCAGTTAAAATGTCTCTGTTGTGCGTTTTATTCAGCGATAACTGGATACCTTCCTGGAGCATCGTCAGTAGTATT